ATATATATTTTTTCAAGCATCATATTTGATACATCAGGCTTTCTTCAGAGGCCCAAACTGAGCAAAAATATGCAATTTGGTGCAGCTGCTGATACTTATATGGCCAAAAAGTACATGTTAAATTCTGATAGCGTGTTATGTAAATAAATCAATGAGATCTTTATATCAGTATAGCAGACTAGCTAATATCAATCATATATCTTAGTAAGGTTATATTAAAATGCTTAGTTTTATGAACAAAGCTCTGTAATTTTTATTGTGGAGGAAGTACAAATAAATGTTCCTCAAAAGCCTGATCTGTCATATTTTATTAACAATTTTAACTAGTTTTTTTTTTTAAATAATGTATGGATAATCAAGTAAACCTACAGTATGTAGTAATAGCTTCAGTCCATTACGTGTCATCTTGAAATATTACTAGCAGTATAAAATGTATTCTTATCTTTACTCTATACGGATTTGGTGAAAATTTCACAGCAAAATGCACGCTTTCCACAACTATTGGATTTTTTACAATTTAATGAAAAGGCCTTTTACTTACTAAAAAAGTATAAATTGTCAATCAGATGGAACAAAAGGCACATAAAAGGTCATGTTTATAATTTAGAGGCCTTAGAAAGTAGTGTATCAAATACATTATGACACAGTAGGCGCTGTAGGGTTAAGTAAAATGTGGCACAGCTTACCCCACTCTCCTAAAGTCTACAGTAAGTTGGGGAAAGCACATCATCTCTCATTCCAAGTTCTAGTACTCCTATAAAGCCCTGTCTTTTCTGCTGAAATAAAGCCAATCATGAAAATAGCCATCTCTTCACACCCCTGAGTATCATTCATAAAGAGTGTGTCTCCAAAGTTCTCCATGCATGTTCAGTCTCTGGGATAGAAAGCAATTTATTTCTCTCCTTGCTTCAGTGCAGCTGACCCAAGAGGGGAATCTCCTTAGCACAGTTAATTGGTGTTGGTTAAAAAAGCTCAATGGACGTCTACAGGAAATCGATACAGAGCTTGATCATGATTAAACAGCTCAGAGCTAAATCAGCCACTAAATCAAACGCTGACATCTATTTGCATTCATTCCATCCACTGAGACATGCAAATGTGGACGAGGGTAAAATGGGTCATTTCTGCAAATCCATTACAAGAGAAGTGTGAGAGAGACTGGTTATTACTCCATTGCTTGGCAACATTCATTGTGTTCTGCAGATCACTGTTTTCACACACAGTGTGAGTCCAAAAGTGTTTATTTCATTGAAAAGTCAAACT